GCCCAGGTGGGCTGAGCTGTGCCGAGCTGTGCCGAGCTGTGCCGAGCTGCCCCGTGCCCATCCAGCCCGGGCAGAGTTGCCCGTTGTTATGCCAACCGAAGAGGCAGGTTAAAAATAGCAAGCGGCTGCTTGTTTTGGGGGTTTCTTTTCCGTGCCCACCTCCAGACGGCTCCTCGCTCGCCGTCTGCTGCGCCGTGGGTGCAGGGGCTTCCCGGGGATCCCCGGCTGCAGCGGTGGGACCTGGGGTGGGATCCGGCTCTGGGGCACCAGTTGGGGGTCCCATGTACTCTCCTCTGCTCCTCATGCTCTCCCCTTCCCCCCCCACCCCAAAAAAAAATATATTTCCCTGCTGTAAATAAGTTTTTCAGCCCTGGGGTGGTGCCACGCCAGCACCCGAACTCCCCGTGCCAGGGCCTTGCGTTTACTGGGTCGCGTGGTCTGTTTCATCCGTGCCTCAGTTTCCCCTTGCGAGGAAGGGGTCGGCAGCTCCTCCCTGTTGCCACCGGGCTGCTCGGGGCTCGATGCTGTCCGGGTGGTAAAACCTCCGAGGACAGGGACAGCCAGGGATTGGGGGTCACATTAGGGCTTTTCTCGGCCCGAACTGGGCTATGGGGTACGGGGACCGGGGATGGGACACGGTCATCACCGAGGAGTTGGGGATCGGGAGAAGGATGCTGAGCGCGGCAGCACATCCCTGATGGAGACCAGCCCGGGAACGGCTCCGTGCTCTTCCCGCCGCCTCCTCCGCACTGGCTGTGACACAGCCCATGGCCTGCGGGGTGGGAGGACGTCTCCGCGTCCCCATCAGCCCTTCGGCATAGCTGGAGTCTGTTATCACATCCTCTCCGGCGCTCTTCCCCTTTCCAGACTAAACAAACTGAATTCTTTCAACTTTCCCTCATCGGTCATATTTTCCACGAAGGGCTCTTCGCTCCCATCTCCAAACCTACTCCCGTCCCCTCCTGGGCTGTGGGGACGCACGGGGACCAGCCGGTGGGGTGGAATGGGATGGGTCCAGCCCATGGGGATGGCATCCATCCTGGAGGATGGGGTCCAGCCCTTGAAACTGGGGTCCAGCCCATGGAACTGAGGTCCAGCCCTGTGGGATGGGACAGGGTCCAGCTCACAGAAACAGGGTCCTGCCCGTGAGGATGAGGTCCAGCCCGTGGGGATGAGGTCCAGCCCATGGGGATGAGATCCAGCGCATGGGGATGAGATCCAGCGCATGGGGAGGGGTCCAGCCCAGGGATGGGACAGGTCCAGCCTTTGGGACGAGGCAACGAGCCTCCGTGCCGCGCTTCCTTGAAACCCCAAAGAAACTGGGGTGGGTTGTCACGGCCAACAACCCCCAGGAGCATCCATCCCTCCTGCTGCAGGCTCACACCCCTCTTTTTGACTCTTTAGAGGGATGTAGTTGGGCAGAAGCTTGAGTAAATACACGATTTTAGGGTTTGGCTGGGTTTTTATGAACTTTTTCTGCACAAAGGGGTGCAATTCCCGTGGCGGGGATGTGGGGAGCGGATGGCACGTGAGCCACCGAGAGCCGCTCGCCTTCAGCAGCGCCTTCCCGCGGGGCTGCGCCCGGCCCCTGCCAACCTGCTGCCTTTTTCCAAAACATCTCTGCAAGGTTTAATGAAGCAGAGTCGGCCCCGCGGGGACCACGAGGGCTCCCGGGATGCTCAGGGTGTGATCCCAGGCTTGGACCCCTCCTGCAGAGCCACCGTGACGGTCCCCAGCGTGTCCCCCCAGCAGCTGACAGTGGCCGTGACTCGGTGATTTATCCCCAGGGTGTATTTTATGGCCTTCTCCAACATTTGAATATTTTTTTCCGCTCTCACCGATGAGGCTCTGCTGCGCAAACAAGGACTTGCAGTGACATCAGCGCCGTCCCCAGGGCACGCACAGGTTTCTCCACGGCTCCGCTCACCCCCCATCTCCTTTTCTCTGTCCCCCAAAGATCCTGTCCAACGTTGCCATCTACCTTTGTGCCATCACGGTGGGCACCATGTCCTACTACATGGCCGACCGCAAGCACCGCAAAGCCTTCCTCGAAGCGCGCCAGTCCCTGGAGGTCAAGCTCAACCTGGAGGAGCAGAGCCAGCAGCAGGTAGGAGCCACGGCCGGGCAAGGGGACAGCGTGGGGACAGGGCAGGGGACAGCTATGGGGCACTTTGGGACGTGGAGGAGACACCCACAACCCGCACTCTGCCTGGCGCGGAGGGACCGTGGCAGGTGGCGATGGGGACAGGAGTTTATCTGCAGTCTTGTGCCCAGTTTGGGGATTCTCCGTGTGACCGTCCTCTTCCAGGACCTCCCAGTTCCTGCCGTGGCCACCACTAAGCTGTCCCCATCCCTGAGCACAGCCACGCAGCAGGTACCTGGGTATTGCCATGTGGCAGGTCCTTGTCCCCATGCATGGCCATGTGACAGGTCCACAGGCGCAGCCGTGTGGCAGGTCCCTGGGCACGGCCACGTGGCAGGTCCCGATTCCTGTGCACAGCCGCGTGGCAGGTCCCAAGGCTTGGCCTTGCAGCAGGTCCCTGTCCTCAGGGACAACCACATGGCAGGTCCCCATCCCCAGGGATGGCCACCAGCAAGTCCCCATCCCTGAGGATGGCCATGCAGCATGTCCCCATCTCCAGGGACAACCACATGGCAGGACTCTACCTCCAGGCATGGCCACCACCAGGTCCCTGTGGCTGAGCATTGTTATGCAGCAGGTCCCCATCCCCAGGGACAACCACATGGCCGGTCCCCATCCCCAGGCACGGCCACCAGCAGGTCCCCATCCCTGAGCATGACCACACCCCGTGGCTGAGCATTGCTATGCAGCAGGTCCCCATCCCTAGGGACAACCATATGGCAGGTCTCCATCCCCAGGCATGGCCACCACCAGGTCCCCATCCCTGAGCATGGCCACACAGGAGGTCTCCATCCCTGACCATGGCCATGCATAAGGTCCCCATCCCCAGGGACAACCTTATGGTAGGTCCCCATTCCCAGGCACGGCCACCAGCAGGTCCCCATCCCTGAGCATGGCCATGCAGCATGTCCCCATCCCCAGGGACAACCATATGGCAGGTCCCCATCCCCAGGCATGGCCACCACCAGGTCCCCGTGGCTGAGCATTGCTATGCAGCAGGTCCCCATCCCTAGGGACAACCACATGGCAGGTCTCCATCCCCAGGCATGGCTACCACCAGGTCCCCAACCCTGAGCATGACCACACAGGAGGTCCTCATCCCTGAGCATGGCCATGCAGCGTGTCCCCATCCCCAGGGACAAGCACATGGCCGGTCCCCATCCCCAGGCACGGCCACCACCAGATCCCCATCCCTGAGCATGGCCACACAGGAGGTCCCCATCCCTGAGCATGGCCATGCAGCATGTCCCCATCTCCAGGGACAACCACATGGCAGGACTCTACCCCCAGGCACAGCCACCACCAGGTCCCCATCCCTGAGCATGGCCACACAGGAGGTCTCCATCCCTGAGCATGGCCATGCAGCATGTCCCCATCTCCAGGGACAACCACATGGCAGGACTCTACCCCCAGGCACAGCCACCACCAGGTCCCCATCCCTGAGCATGGCCACACAGGAGGTCTCCATCCCTGAGCATGGCCATGCAGCGTGTCCCCATCCCCAGGGACAACCATATAGCAGGTCCCCAACCCTGAGCATGGCCACCACCAGGTCCCCATCCCTGAGCATGACCACACAGGAGGTCTCCATCCCTGAGCATTGCTATGCTGCATGTCCCCATCCCCAGGAACAAACACACTGCAGGTCCCCATCCCCAGACACGGCCACCAGCAGATCCCCATCCCCAGGCACGGCCACCACCAGATCCCCATCCCTGAGCATGGCCATGCAGCGTGTCCCCATCCCCAGGGACAACCATATAGCAGGTCTCCAACCCTGAGCATGGCCACCACCAGGTCCCCATCCCTGAGCATGACCACACAGGAGGTCTCCATCCCTGAGCATTGCTATGCCGCATGTCCCCATCCCCAGGAACAAACACACTGCAGGTCCCCATCCCCAGACACGGCCACCAGCAGATCCCCATCCCCAGGCACGGCCACCACCAGATCCCCAACCCTGAGCATGGCCACCAGCAGGACCCCATGAGGACCCCAGGCACCCCATGGGCTGGTCCTGCAGCAGACCGTGACGGGGAAGGGAGAGCTG